AGTTGTTTGGGGAAAGGGAGATTTGCAACGACGGCAGATGGTCCGGATCGGCAGCGAGGGCTATACGCGTGCTGCTGTGAAACACTGCCTCGACTCGTCGCCTGAGGGGAACGGGCGTGAGGGCGTGAGGGCAGCGGGCAGCCCGAGCGATGGGCGGCGGATAGGGCCGATGAAGGAGCAATGGGGGACGGTGGTGGGTGGGGTACAAGGGCTCAACAGCTGGTGCAGGAGGACAGCGGCGCCGAGTCGCTACAGACACAGTCGCACCAAAAGCAGAGGGAATTGGGAATCAGGGTTTTGAAAAGAAAGCAGGCGAGGATTTTGTGCAGCGTACAAATGTTTCGAGGGGCAGGAAAACTAAGGTGGCCGGGAGTCGCATTTTGTGAGGCTGGGACGGCTAGCCCGCCCCGTCATGCTCGCACACCGCAACACGTATACAAGGCTTACCCACCTGCGATACACGCTTCGCACCAATCGCGCGCCCTGGATGCACCGCGCCGCGCCAGTCACGCTGCAGCCGCCTTCAAACTCTGCGGTTCTCTCCAGGGCCGCCGTCTTTGTCATTATCTGCCTTTGCCCGCTGCCGGTTCCCTCCATGCCCTGGCCCGCCGTTCGGTTTCAACGCGTCGCCGGCCAATGGCACACAGCGCGTGTTTGGAAACATTCTTCTCCAGGGAAACATTTCTGTGACAGCAGCTGCTGGCCTCCTCAGACCCGGCCTGTAGCATCCTCTCGCAAACACCAAAACAACTTCTATTGCATTCGGCTTGCTCAACATGCCTACACTCCGTAGCTGCACCGCAGTAGTAGGGGTTCATCATCGATCCATCCAGTCCCGCTTGGCGCAGCTACTCCACCATCACTCCCCGTCTCCCTTACCGCCATCTGCCTCGCTAGCTGTGTGTGCAGTACACACATGCGGCTCTACGACTTCTGGCTCAGATAGTGTGCGACCTCTGAAGTGCCCCAACGCTCGGTCCCGTCTTCTGGCAGCACCACCCACGGCGCCTTCTCCCGCAGAAAAATGTGCTTGATCACCTTTGGCGTCGTCTCTGTCTTTAGGCTTTCCAGATCGACCGTGGCCATGCACAGACCGAGCCCTTCAGGGTCTGAAGGGTATGTCATGGATATCGGTGCCCCACACCCCGAGCAAAAGGTTCGTTCGGCAACGCTAGAAAGTTGGAGACTCGTGCGTGTGCTCGCCTGATTGAACCTAACCTCTTTCAACGGTACTCGTGTAAAGGCGAGAAATCCGGAGCCCGACAGTTGCTGGCACGCTCGGCAGTGGCAGATGGTGATGCCTGAAGGCGCCGCGCTCGATGTGTATTGTACCCCGCCGCACCGGCACCCGCCTGAGAATACGACATCGTCTTTAATTGTTTGTGCAACATATCGAGATCCGTCGGCAGCTTCAGTGTCGCGTCAGTTCGCCATTGGCTCAAGTGCAGCTGCATGGGTTTTACTTACGTCTCCGCGCTATACCCAGAAACACCGAGTCCACCTCTTCGACCTTGCCGTCTATTGCTAGTTTCTCCCACTCTTCTTTGTAAATCCCTTGTGCTTTTCTCCTGATGTCGTTGCTCGCAAACGTCCTGGCAACGTCCTTGACAATTACGTTCTCGACAAAGAAGTCGTCCCATTGCTCCATTTCATACGAGCGTCGGCCGTACCCGGCTTGGTTTTCGACTGTAAACACCTGCTCCACCTCTAGGCCAGCTGACTCCATTGTCTTCCGCAGAGTGTCCTCTGATTTGCTCCATGAGCGGTTATAGGGGATCGGCAACTGCAGTCTGCACGCCACCCTCTCGAGAACCATGCCTGACACTAAATTCCTCGGGTGCGTCGCATCTACTGCCATGACACCCCCAGGCTTCAGAAACTCCGTCCAGTGCTCCATAGCAGCCTTGGGGTCAGGAAACAAGACAAGCGCAGAAGCTACCGTGATGACGTCAAATTGCTTCCCCTTTAATTCTTCCGTCTCATCCAAGTGTAACACGTCGCCCTTGAGAAAGGTAGTATTTGCATATTTATCTCCCCCTTGCGTCTTTCGATGCGTGGCGACCGCAAGCATACTAGGCGTGACATCGACTCCTACAACGTGACCTTGTGGCCCCACAGCCTCTGCTTCGCGAAAAGTAAGGAGTCCAGTTCCACATGCCAGGTCTAGTACATGCTGCCCGTGTTGTATATCCAGATAGGATATGAACCGTCTGGTAAAGTCGTTATGCCATGTCGCGTCGTAATCCCACGATTTCGAATCGTAAAATCGAATAGCATCTGCTGCCTGTCGCTCGCCCGTCATTTTGGTTGACTCTGGACTTGTTCTGTTGAGTGGAGAAAACACCACTTCGCCAGCATATGTAGATATACACAGAATGGTGGTTGCCAGCCAATGAGGGCGGGGCAGCTTGGTAAGCCAGGCTTCGGTCTATCCAGTCAGAGTGCACCGTATGCTTCCTTCTCTTTCCCCTCAATGCTGACTAGGCAAATCGCTGGCAACTTTTCTGGGAAGTTTCCCATGAGAAGCCAGGGCTTCATCTTATAATAACTCAGCTTCATTTGTTCGTGTACGGCTCTCAATGTACCGGCCTGAGACATCCGATTGAACGTGAGAGGGGTGCCGAAGTCCAGCATCCCACTAGCACTAGAATTGGTAAGCGCGACGGACTGGCTATCTCTCACCTTTCGACCCTTCTTTCCTCCTTCAACATGTTCTGCAGTCAACACTTGTCATGCTAGTGAGCAAGTATTCAAAAAAAAACCCCGCAGTATTTTCACATGTCCATATTGCCATATTGTTTGATATTGTACACACTGACAACGCTGCATCAGATACCATCAAGGTTTAAACAAGGCACCATGTAACATACGATATACATACTATCTACTGACCTGGCCCATCTCTAGGCATCTTCAAAACAGCATCAAAAGCTTCAAAAAAGTATTCAGAATACTGATCGTATACTGCCGGAAGAATCGTAAGGTGGCAGACAGGCTAAACGGCACTTCATCAAATGCCCCACCGCACCCCACAAGGTCATGGAGAACCGGCGTCATAATATCCATCACCTCTTCGAGGCGAGCCAGGGTCGGTAGAGTGCCTGTTACATCTTACACCCAATGAAGCACCATTCTATGATGATACCCCATTTCTAAATCCTGGAAGGGCATCATGCACAATGCATGCTACCTACATAGGTCTTCAATACCCGCATCTGAAAACATGTCAAGTGGAGACACCTCCTTTTCGGGAAAACTGTTGGCCAAGGATGCTAAAGTGCAAGCCTGCCCCCTCGCGGCTCAAAGGAGCTTTTATATTCCAATGGAAGACTCCAAATATAGAGGGCGTTATTGGTTTTTCCATCATTCAAGAGACAGAATCCTGCACGACTCGCACCCCGGCTTCCCCCTATGTCATCTACCACGGTTCCGCATTTACGCGACAGTAAGAATCGCCGCTGACAGGCAACGAGACGTGTATCCTTAATTACATCGTATTAATCCTGCATGATCTGCTCATTTCTATCGCTTCATTTAAGATCGTCAACTTCCTGCGGGGATGTGGAGTGTTTGTGGAGCGAATAGTCAATATATAATAGACAGAGACTCTCGAAAATGCCTGCGATCAGAAAAAAACTGTCTTGAGCACCCTAAAAATTCAGTATGAAGTACTCAATTGCCCTCTCACTCCTTTCTAGTACCGTCCTTGCGACGCCTCTGCTTCAGCAACGCCAAGGGGCAACATGCACTGTCCCATCGACTTTTCCTAGCACCGCCAACTCCAAACTACCGAATCCCTTCAAGTTCTTCGACGGAAGGTCTGTTGTTACCAAAGAAGACTTTGCGTGCAAGAACAAAGAAGTCAGCGCTGCCTTGCAGAACCAAGAGCTTGGTGATTTTCCCAAGAAGCCTTCAACTGTCACTGCTAGCTTCTCGGGATCATCACTCTCTATCACATCAAGTGAGGGCGGAAAATCTGTCTCGTTCTCTGTCTCGATCAAGAAACCTAGTGGGAGTGGTCCATTTCCAGCCATCATCGCCTATGGCGCTGCCAGTATCCCAATTCCCAGCCAGGTTGCTACCATCACCTTCAACAACGATGAGATCGCTCAGCAGCAGAGCCAAAGCAGTCGTGGAAAAGGCAAGTTTTATGATCTATACGGCTCCAGCCACAGCGCAGGGGCTCTTACTGCCTGGGCCTGGGGCGTCGATCGTATCATAGATGCTCTCGAGGCAACTCCTGGCGCCGGCATTGACCCCAAGCGCGTCGGGGTTACTGGATGCTCCCGGAACGGCAAGGGTGCATTTGTTGCCGCCGCCCTCGTTGACCGTATTGCTCTCGGGCTACCCCAAGAATCCGGATCTGGCGGTGCTGCCTGTTGGCGCATTTCTGACTCGGAGAAGGCTAAGGGCAAGAACATCCAGACTTCTAGTCAGATTGTTACCGAGAATGTTTGGTTCTCTCCCAGATTCAATGCATTTAGTACACGGTCCAACACACTCGCTACCGACCACCATCAGCTTGCAGGTATGGTTGCTCCTCGCGGCCTGCTTGTTATAGAGAACGAAATCGATTGGCTGGGCCCGGTTGCGACAACGGCTTGCATGAAGGCTGGTCGCCTCATCTACAAGGCTCTTGGTGTACCGGACAACATGGGCTTCACAGGCTCTGGCAACCACAACCACTGCCAGTTTCCGTCCAACCAGCAGGCTGATCTGACTGCCTTTATAAACAAATTTCTGCTAAACCAGAGTGCCAATACTAATATCGAAAAGGGCCCGTCTGGTGCCGATGTTGCGACATACATCGACTGGACTGCACCTACGCTCACATAAGATGCATGGATGGGAACTCAAATGGCCGGGGTTGGGGATGTGAATGTATTCATGTAGACCAATTCAGAATTTAATGGCCATTTGCGCAAAGTTGATAGCATTCTTCCCCACAGCCAAATACTGGGCGCCGAAAGCCTGGTCAGCTGCAATATCGGGAGCGTGGGATAAGCAGCATTTCTTGGCGAACGCCACCTGATGACAGAGGAGCGAAAGGGTATCAAAAAAAATCAAAAGTTGTGTTTTTGTATGCTCAGACGATGTATTTCGATGAAGGAATAGACAGTGATGCACATGGTATGTCACGCTGTCGCGCAGAGCAAATTTTGAAATCTCACCACCAAGGCCCATCTGGCCAGTGAAGTGACTATGAGGAGCGCGATAGAGGACGAGAGCGCGCAGGAAGCATGCAAGGGCCCCTGTGAGTAGATATGCTCCTACCACCAGATCAGCGGAGGGTGGAATGACGAGTTTGATGTTTGGCTGGGCCGTGGTAACAAGTTTGGAGGGGTCGTGGACGTGGCACTCCACTCGTTCCTTGCGCCTCCGAAGCGGTGGCTCATTTCGGCACTAGCCCACGTCAAGCGCGTTGTTTGTCTTCAACCCCACAATCCCGACGTGCAGTGAGCGTGAGCGTGAACAGGGCGATTGAGATCAAGTCGAAGAGTCGCAGCGACGACATCACCGCCCTACGGCCGCCACACCCACTGGCATCCTCATCACATGACCCCGCCAAGCCGCTAACTCCCTTTGCGCGCGGACAAACGCTCAGGCTAGAGAGACCTCGCAGACGTTCACCACCCATCCCGATATCACCAAGACTTGCGCCCGCATCTCTCCATCCCCGCAACACGCTGTTCCTGACGCGTACTGCGGTCTCTGACCCTTTTCGAGTGCGCCTGCGCCCCTACCACCCGCCACTCGCAAATTGCGCGCTCTGCTTCAGCCTCCTGGAACGACGCGACTCTGCGACGGGCGGACTCCCGAGAGTCTCTCATCGGCCTCATCCTCAAGAGAGCTTCTGCCACCACCACTCCCCCCCGATAATGTCATAGAACACCGCTACACGCGCCACAACACACTCCTCGACTGTCGTTCCCTCATACTTGCGCGAGCTCCGGCGCCCAGACCACGTGCGGCGACCGCGTCTCAGACTTGACATCTTGTCATCAATCCTCGATTGCGCATTTGTACAAACACCGCGACTACAGCCCACCATGGCTTCAGTCCAGACTAACCCAGAGATGCCCGGCCAGGGCCAGCTCCCGGCAAACATCACCCGCGAGCAGATTCAGCATGTTTTCCAGGTACGTACTTGGCCCGCGACAGCTCGAGTGCCACCACCCATCACGCTCTCACACTCACTCTCATCCGCATGCCGGCTTTGCTAACACCGTCTCTAGCGCTATACTGCGATGAAACAACAAGGCGTCTCCGAGTCCAATCCCGAGTTCATCAAGGCGCGCAACCTCCTTACAATGGTTCAGAAGCAGAACCAGTATCAGCAGCAACAGAAGATGCTCCGACAGCAGCAGATGCAACAGCGTCAGCAAGGCCAGGTGGATCCACAGGCTGTGCTACAAAACGGCGCTGCCACGGGCATGCTCAATGGTGCAAAGCCAGTTGCGCCTGTTGACGGCAAACCTGCCGTATCTACGCCAGCCTCGACCGGACCAACGTCTACAATGCAGATTGCAACTGCTGGAGGACAGGCTCCTTCAGTCGATGGGCAGACACCCACATCGGCCAACAATTCCTCAATGGCACTGTCCAAAGACCAGCTTCTGATGCTACGTGCTCAGATTGGAGCCTTCAAACACCTCTCCAAGGGTCTCCCTCTGCCTTCAAATATGCAGCAACAAATCTTTGGCCACCACCAGGCAAAGAAACCTCAGAATGCTGCTGAGGCTGTGGCAGCTGCTTCTCAGATGCTCGACAACGCGACTCGTGCCGGCAGCACCTCAAGTGCCGTGGGCGGCGCTGTGCAAGAGACTCGTACTCTGCCTCGTCTTCCGGATACTTTCATCGACCCCTGGAGTAGTGAAGTCTTCCGAGACGTCAACTACATCTCCCACACACAGCGCAAGAACCGACCTTACCTTGCGACAATCATGCCACAAGGTGTCGACATCAACGCTGTACAGCAGAGCATGGAAGAATTGCGCAAGGAGCGTGAGATCCTTCTCTACAACCGCCTTACGGCGAGAAAAGCAGAACTGGAGAAGATGCATGCAAACATCGGCTCATGGGATACCAGCAAGACCGACACTCCCGAAGATGACGGAAAGGTCAAGTTGGCTCTTGTTATTGAGCAGAAGAAACTGAACCTGCTCGAGAAGCAACGCAAACTGCGGAGAGAAATCGCCCAGCAAATGATTCACGCAGACAACCTTGCCATGACTGCGAACCGAACCGTTTACCGCCGTCTCAAGAAGCAATCGATGCGCGAAGCCCGTCTCACCGAGAAGCTCGAGAAGCAGCAACGCGATGCGCGCGAGACCAAGGAAAAGAAGAAGCACCACGAGTTCATCGATGCCATCCGGAAGCATCGCACCGAGCTGCAAGAATCTGGCGCAGCTCAGCGAATGCGTCTGCAGAAGCTCGGCCGTACTATGGTTTCGACACACCAGAACATCGAGAAGGAAGAACAGAAGCGTATCGAGCGAACGGCCAAGCAACGTCTGCAGGCACTCAAGTCCAACGACGAAGAGACTTACCTCAAGCTCTTGGGCCAAGCCAAGGATACTCGTATTTCACACCTTCTCAAGCAGACCGATGGATTCTTGAAGCAGCTTGCCAACTCCGTCAAGGCGCAGCAGCGATCTGCAAACAACTCATACGAGCCTGAGGAGGAGAGCAGCAGTGAGGAATCCGATGACGAAGACCGACCGGGCAAGAGAAAGACCGACTACTATGAGATTGCTCATCGCATCAAGGAGGAGGTCACTGAACAGGCCACCAACCTTGTCGGAGGTACACTCAAGGAATACCAACTCAAGGGTCTGCAGTGGATGATATCTCTGTACAACAATAACTTGAACGGTATTCTTGCAGACGAAATGGGTCTCGGAAAAACTATTCAGACAATCAGTTTGATCACATACCTGATCGAGAAGAAGCGACAACCTGGACCTTACCTAGTCATTGTCCCCTTGAGTACGCTTACCAACTGGACCAACGAGTTTGAGAAGTGGGCGCCAAGCGTTAGCAAGATCGTGTATAAGGGTCCTCCAAACGCGCGAAAGCAGTACCAGCAACAGATCCGTTGGGGTCAGTTCCAGGTCCTGCTCACTACTTACGAGTTTATCATCAAGGACAGACCGATTCTTAGCAAGATCAAGTGGGTTCACATGATTGTCGACGAAGGTCACCGTATGAAGAACGCTGGTTCCAAGCTCAGCATGACCATCACACAATACTACTCAACGCGGTATCGACTCATTCTGACAGGTACGCCCCTGCAGAACAACCTGACGGAACTTTGGGCTATGCTTAACTTCGTTCTGCCTACCATTTTCAAGTCGGCTACGTCGTTCGACGAGTGGTTCAACACGCCATTTGCGAACACTGGAGGTCAAGATAAGATGGAGCTCACTGAAGAAGAGCAGTTGCTCGTTATTCGTCGTCTGCACAAGGTTCTTAGGCCTTTCTTGCTCCGACGTCTGAAGCGCGATGTCGAGAAGGACCTCCCGGACAAGACCGAACGTGTGATCAAGTGCAACTTCTCCACTCTCCAAGCGAAGCTGTACAAGCAACTCGTCACTCACAACCGCCTCATGGTCAGCGATGGCAAAGGTGGAAAGACTGGTATGCGTGGTTTGAGCAATATGCTCATGCAACTGCGAAAGCTCTGCAACCATCCTTTCGTCTTTGAAGAGGTTGAGGATGTCATGAACCCCACAAAGGGTACTAATGATCTCCTGTGGCGTTCGGCTGGTAAATTCGAGCTTTTGGATCGAATCTTGCCCAAGTTCCAGGCTACTGGTCATCGTGTTCTCATGTTCTTCCAGATGACGCAGATCATGAACATCATGGAGGATTACCTACGGCTTAGGGGCATGCAGTATCTGCGGTTGGATGGTGCGACAAAAGCAGACGATCGTTCGGACTTGCTGAGACTGTTCAACGCGCCTGATTCGCCCTACTTCTGTTTCCTTCTCTCCACGCGTGCTGGTGGTCTCGGTCTCAATCTCCAGACTGCTGACACCGTCATCATTTACGACTCAGATTGGAATCCTCACCAGGATTTGCAAGCGCAAGATCGTGCCCATCGTATCGGTCAGAAGAACGAGGTTCGCATTCTACGTCTGATTACATCCAACTCGGTAGAAGAGAAGATTCTCGAGCGAGCCAACTACAAGTTGGACATGGATGGCAAGGTCATTCAAGCTGGTAAATTCGACAACAAGTCTAAAGATGACGAGCGAGACGCCATGTTGCGTATCATGTTGGAATCTGCTGAAGCAGCCGAAAGCCTCGAACAAGAGGAAATGGACGATGACGACCTGAATCAGATCATGATGCGACACGAGGATGAGTTGGCGATATTCCAGGAAATGGACCGAAAGCGTATTGCCGAGGATCCTTACGGTCCTGGTAAGCCTCTAGGTCGTTTGATCGGCGAGAGCGAACTGCCGGATATCTACCTGAACGAAGAGGCACCCATCGTCGACGAAAAGGATGACACGCCTGCTGGCCGTGGTGCTCGAGAGCGTACACGGGTCAAGTATGACGACGGTCTGACGGAAGAGCAGTGGCTGGAGGCTGTTGACAACGACGATGATTCAATAGAAGCAGCTATTGCCCGCAAGGAGGCGAAGATGGCCAAACGGGGTAGGAACAAGGGTGGACGGGGCGATGAGGAGTCGCCGGCACCATCACGCGCCAGCTCCGAGGAGCCTGCACCCAAGAAGCGAGGCCGTAAGCCAAAAGCCGAGAAGCGCAAAGCAGATGAAGCCTCACTCGACGTTGAACCCACACCACGGAAACGCGGACGACCAGCGCCTAGCAAAGACATGTTGCAGCCTGATCAGCGAGCATCTCTTCAAAAGATTGTTAACGTCGTCTACGAAGCGCTTAATGATCTCGAAGAAGAGTCATCAGATCCCAACATTCCAAATCGTGGCATCATCGACCCCTTCATTGAGCTACCAGACAAATGGGATTATCCAGACTACTACCAACTGATCAAGAATCCCATCTGCATGAAGCAGATTGAGAAGAAGATCAACAAGAAGGAGTACCAGTCTGTCAAGCAGTTCCGTCAAGATCTGGGCTTGCTATGCAATAACTGCCGGACCTACAACGAGGACACATCACTGCTGTTTGCGGATGCCAATCTCATTGAGCAGACTGCGCTCGACAAGCTGAAGGAGGTGACGGCAGAGTATCCAGAATGGCAAGATTATGATGATGGAAGCAGTGTTCAGGGCGGCCTTAGCACGGCAATGACGAGCGCGGTTGGCACACCGCGGGCTGGAGTTTGAAAGGAAAGATGGTACGTTAATACTTGAGCAATATATACACTTTTTTTTTCTCGCACACATTTGCTGACTCTACCCCCAGATGAAACGGGCATAATTTTCATACACACGTGGCTCCTCCCCCTGTCCCCAGCTCGATATCCGAACGTCCTTTTTTCGATTCTATTACACTTTTCTCTCCATGTCGTTACTCTCTGTCTTTCTTGAGACTTTACACGCGTGGAACGTATCGTTTTTGCCAGAACGGACCTCTGGGGGACACATTACAAACAATCAAATCAAACAAAAAAAGGACAGAGAGGAAAGAAGAGAGTGTCCCGGGCAAAATCCTACGACGCTGGACACGCTTTTTCTTCTTTTTTGCACGAGAACGGGCGCAATACACTGCTTTTTTATTCACTTCCAAGCTCATGAGTGGTGGAAACAAAGGAATGAAGGTGGGCTTTGGTACGCTTTGACTGAGTGACACGATTCTAAAGGGGGGTTTTTATTGGGAGGAGGAGCAGGAATGGGGGGAATTTGGGAGTTTTTTTCTTTCGTCTCTTGAATGGAGTTTTTGATTGCATGGCTACTGTAAGCTGTCTTTTTCTATTCAAAGGTAGCTTTTGTAGCCCCCCTTCTTTTTCTGTGGACCACAAGGCTTTCAATGTCTTTTGAGGTTCTAGAGTGATAAAAGGAGAATGTATTATATTTGCAATTCCTTTGGGATGCTGATATTTGCGTGTACTGAGGGATGCGGCTCTCTAGATGTTCAGAGTCGGAGCATACTATTGGCTTCACGACTGCTGTGCAGCGTTCCACTTTACGCAGTCTTCGAATTTGACGCTGGAACCACCGAAGATGTCGAGGGCGCTGCCGATGGTGAGATCGACCTTGCCGTTGCTGAGCTTCTTTACGAGCTCCAGGTCGTCGAGTGAGCGGCTTCCGCCTGCATATGTGACGGGTATGCTGCACCACTCTGCTAGCTTGGCAACAAGTTCGTGGTCAATACCTCGCTGTAGACCTTCGACATCTGCGGCATGGATGAGGAACTCGCTGCAATGGGGTTCGAGGAGAGCTATCGACTCTGTAGTTTCTTATCAGCTTCAGGTTAATATTAGAAAGAGAGAGTCTAGACCCGACCTTTATTCAGCTCAAAGTCCGTAATCGTCTGCCATTTGTTCGTAGCAACGAACCACCTGTCGTCTTTCCTCCGGCACGACAAATCAATGACGAGTTTAGACTTGTCGTTGCCGAGGGCCTTCAGCACAGCTTGCAGGCGGTCCATGGAGAAAGTTGACGAGGGAAAAAGGTACGATGTTATGATCACCTACTGCGCTTCCATTAGCCTCAAGATGTCTACTCAAGTCCCCGTTTCCCCGGCCAATTGCGCATATACCGCTCACCTTGTCCGCGCCTTTTGCAATCCACTCGGCTGCGTTTTGCTCGGTGATGCCGCCGCCAACTTGCATGCCGCCTTTCCATGCCTCGAGCGCTTCTTGCGCTGCCTGATCATTGCCAGGACCTAGCATTATGACGTGTGCGCCGGTTAGGTCATGTTTTTTGTAGAGATCGGCATAGAATGCTGAGGGGTGCGAGGATGTCCAATTGGTTTTGAGTTCGTCGGGAGTTGTAGTGTTGAGCGTGCCGCCGACAATTTGCTTGACGCTGCCGGCGTGTAGGTCGATACAGGGGCGGAAACGCGTCATAATGTGTTTGCAAGCAGTAAAAAAGGTGAATTGGATGTGGACCGCTTGGTGTTGCGGGGGAGGGGTTCAGAGAGACGGAGGTCCGAACCAAATTTGGCGCTAGTGAGGTCCCTTGCTCGAAACTTTTTGAGATTCTATCGCACCGCGTCGCATTGCCATTACCGCCTCCTAGCTAAGCCACGACACCTCACTATAGAATTATGGCGCCAGCACTTGGAAAGCGAAAGCGCGTCACACGCGCCGAACTCGAGCAAGAATCGCGGTCACCATCGCCTTCGTCAGGCTCGGGCGACGACTCTGGTGCAGAGGATCTCCAAGCAGTATTTCGCCGCGCGTTCGAAGCAAAGTTTAAGCCTCTGCCGACAGAGCCCAAGAAACCCAAGATTGAAGATATCCCTGTACAGGAGGATGAGGAAGAAGAAGACGAGGAAGAGTCCGACTGGTCAGGCATCAGCGACCACGAAAATGACGTCGAAGTAGTCGAATACCATGACCCCCATCGCGAACTCGACGATACCGAGCGCGCAGAAATGAAAGCTTTCATGTCCTCCAAACCACCTACCTCAGCCTCGAAATCTACTAGTACCTCATCATCCCAAAAGAGGAACAAAAAAATCGAAGACGCCGACACAACCGAAGCCTCAAATCTCAAAAACGATCTCGCGCTCCAGAAACTCCTCCGGGAATCCCATCTCCTCTCCGCCTCTTCCTCAGGAACCTCAACCCCCAACACACTAACCGCCACGGGTGTCGATCGCCACAAATCAATGGACCTACACCTTCAATCCCTCGGCGCAAAGGGCTCCATCTTCACTCAGAAAAAGATGCCCATGGCCCAGCGCAAACACATGGAACTAAAGGCACGCACAACGGAGGCGAAACGCAGAGCGGAGGCTAGGGAAGCGGGTATTGTGCTGGAGAAGGAAAACAAAGCGTCGACAGGCAAGAAAGTGGAGAGGAAGAGGGAGAGAGGTGTTGGTGGACCAAGTATAGGCAAGTTTAGAGGGGGAACGCTGAGTTTGAGTAAGAAGGATGTTAGGAGTATTACTGGGGGTGGAGGGGCTAAAGGGAAGGGCAAGGGGAAGAAGGGGAAAAGGTGAGGTGGTGATGAAAGTAGAATGATACCCTCGAATTCGACTATGTGCTATTTCACCGCTATGGACGGTACAGGATATGTTGTTTGTATGTGACCTTTTTTGTCAACGACTATCGTGAGAGTGGGCTATGAGTCAAGATATTCAGCAATCATGGATGAATGATATGGCGAAGATGTTGCGCAAAGAAACGGGGGAGTGAGGGGAGGAGAATGGCTCACGAGATGGAAAGCAAACGGAACAGTCTTCGCGGTGATCTGGGCAATGTAGAGCAGGTCAAAGGCATGTGGTGATGAGGTTTCTGGCGAGAAAAATGTGCACTGGATCGAATGTAGAAGGACAAAGCAGCGCGTTTATGAGCAATTTGGTTTTCTCAAATCGGAATTGAATGGTCAGGTTGAAAGAATAGGGAATATGTAATGGGTAGAAGGACTCAATGATATGGTATGGAGAAGTGAATGGTAGTACATGGGGTGTTTGTGCTATATGGTTTTGAAGCACAAGGTGATAAAGTAAAGGAGCAATTGCAACGATATCACAAGGATAAAGACGATGTTGAAGACATGATTATGGTTTTGTTTTCTTCGTTGATGTTGCCCTGTATATACAAGAGTATAAGTCCAGATGACTACATGAATATCATAAATGTGACATATGTGACGATATATAGCCCACGTTCTTCACACTCCAAGAAGTCTGTGATTACTATGTCAAACTTGACAATTCTTGTGTGTATTATTGAAACATGGAAACAGTACAAAAAGTCCTCGGCCATACAAAACGCATACTAACGCATGTTTCTAATATCGTGCATATAGAGAACGCACAGCCTATCATCGACTTAAAATATTATGTGAAGAACAATTACTCTCTTTTCTTCTCCATACTTCATCCGACAAGAAGAAAAGCATCAACCAAAGAAGCAGAAAAAGAAAAAAGATCACACCAACAACCAAGTCCCCATTGACGACTTGTCCCGAAGTCGTACCCTACCGCCACTCTCCTACATGATCACATGCTACCAAGAAAGCCATACCCAAAAGCCATACTCCAACAGCCTCGCCTTACCCGCATACCTCAACGCTCCACCCGCCACCAAATCTCTCCCCACGCCGCGTGGCATACTGCTACACCGTCTTCCCCATAACCGAATAATACCGCAACCATCCTACTCACCGGAAACACAAGCAACACCCTCCCCCACCACCAAAACCCCAAGTACCATGGTCCCTGCAAGACACTTGCATATACAGGTGTACATACATACGTACATTACATCTACACGTACATATGTATTCCTCGCAGCAACATTTATGCGCCCCAGCATGCGCCTTACCGATGAACGACGCCCAACCACATCCCGCAGCGAACCATTGAACAACGACCCTTTTTTTTACACCGCCAGTTTATGTGCGCGCGCGCGTACGTTGGAAAACCAAACAATCAAAAGACATTGTTACAATGGTGAGAAACCCACACACCCATCTCAACAATTCATACCAACCAAAAAAATGGCGCGTGGTAAGAATTTCGTACATATGTGTAGTATGTAGAGCAAAAAAGCTTCAGGTCATGTGGTTCTGGCACAACGCCGTGCATATCAGCGGTGAAATACATGCGAGGACAACGAAGGGGGGGAAGAGAAACGTGTGATATCATGTAAGATGCAAGTTGGGAAATGTAACAGGCATGATCCTGATTTTTGGTACCGAAAACCTATCCTACTCTACCTTGTAAAGAGCGCAAAACAAAAAGAAAAAAACAAACAAGAGAAATCGAGAAAGAGAGAGATTAGATGTAACAGCAACAAGTCACTTCACGTGAAGCCCTTTTTGCAACGCAAACCACTTCGTTCGCTGCATCCCCACAGAAAAGAAACCCAGCGGGGGACTTGGCTCCAACAGCCCAGTTCTCCGCCACAAACGCCTGTCGCGCGAATGCTAAAATGGGAAAGAGGCAAGAGAGCGAGAGAGGCAGAAGCAGAAGAAAGGGCAAAAAAGCAAAGAAAGACCAATGATGCTTTTCTTGTCTTATCCCCACACCACCACGACGATGTGTATCCAATCACAGTCGAGAATTTTCAGGCACTTGCAAATGTCTGGTACGTAGATCGGAAGAGTCGAGATAGAGGGTAAATCTTTCACCGCTAGTAGAAGAGCAGAGAGACAGTGGAGGCGCGCAAAGCACGCAAGCATGCAAGCAAGCAGAGCAGAGCACGCAAAGCATGCAGCTACAACGTTAGGCTACCAAAGAAAACTTGTTCATGTCCTTGGTTGGCCGGTTCTACCCAGGCTCGTCGCATCAATATGCCGAGGCGTGCCGCTAAGCGCGGCCGCCGTGCTAGGGGCTGTTGGAACTGTTGAACAGAGAGTTCAGCTCAACAGGGGGGTTGGGCAGCCGGCGGCGGGGGGAAACGCGGCGGTGGGGAATGGGCGAGGGGGGAAGGGGGGGGAGTGGGAAGAGCTACGCTACGTATTAAGCGAGGCGGTTGGTACGGGTAAAGGGCAAGACATACATACATGTGTAAGCGATAGGTAAGTAAGAAGCGCTTGCTTGCAGCCTACCTCCCATACGTACATGCGCAGAAAAAAAAGGCCTTTTTTCTTTGACTACCGGACTGGTTCAAAGGGGCCCAAGCGAGCGGTACCATGGATTCAAGGGCCTGGTAGTGGCGATAATACAAATAGGGAAATTGGAAAACTTGGTGACCAACAGCAGTGCAGCGATCATGGGGCCACTCGGCTTTGTCTACGCCATTCTTTGGACATCTCAGGCGGCTGGCAAGGCAATCGAGGGACTTGTTCCGAGGGTCAGGTGGCCATCGGCGGTACCGATCGGAAAGTGTGTGTGTGTGGGGGGGGGGGGGGAGCGGAAAAAGGAGGCTATTCTTTTCTTGCCTGTCTTTGTAAGGATTAGACTTATTCATCTTGGAATAGAGTTTCTGGGTCAGGGTCAGCTGTAGCATGTACGTCCAATGTACGTACCCTAGCCACAAACTCTAAACAGGGGGGGAGCGCAAAGGTGTGTGGTATGCAGCAAACAGGGACAGTTTTGACAGGAAACGTCGCAGTGAAGATCTCGTCCGGTGAGGATTCTTTGCCTGCATCTCGTGTGGCCAAATTGCGTTTTCGTAGGGTAAAGGATGCAGATATTGGCGGTGTTAGACGAATGGAATGCAGTCGATTTGCGACCAAGGAAATTTTCTGCAGTAAGCCTTGTATACACAGCGTGGATTTTTTCTTCCCCGCTGCTACATACATGTACATACATGCTCAGCTACTGCATGTCAACGCGCATGCAGCGTGTCATCATGGCCATTTTCTCCACACCTACACACCCAGACGCACGAGTACACACCCGAAGACCTGCGGATTGTACTTGCGCGCCTTGCTCTAGTGAGCTGCTGTGGTGCCCATTGTGATCTATGGCCATTGCGGAAAAGAGGTCCGCGGAGCCCAAGGCATAGGAAGGGTACCTGGTCTGTCAAATATCCAGTTTCATCCAGTCATGCTTTGCCATGTATCCTTTAGGATGTGATTTGCTGCCTTTTCCTTTTCCTTTTGCCTTAGGAATGGCATATGGCTCCTTCCCGAGGTAGTAAGATGTTGCCCCTGTGCACTCGTACCATGGGATTACAGTTTGTCCTCGGCAGCCTGAGCAGCAAGACAGCGCATCTACCGTAGCACATGGCATCAGGTCTGCTGATTTCATGTATGCTGGCTGTTAAAGATCATGCTTGGGCATTGTATTTGGCCGAATGGTGCTGGTAACCACGTATGCGATGCACTCCTGTCATCACATACTCTATGTACGGTCCACGTATACAGATGTATGAAGTGCTGGCATTACGATGCAGTCTTGTACAGGGATTTGGTTGTCTCATGTCGTCGTGTGTCGTGTATCGTGTATCGTGTGAGCGTGCCGTCATGATGCCGCGGCAGAATCGGCGCAGAGCAGAAGTATCAGCAGGAAGAGACGTAGAGGTTGCAGAACAGGGAGCACCAAAGGAATGGGTATTGGTCTTAGAGATACACATGGTAAGTTCCGCGCATGCATGCTCCTTGTGCTTGACAGCGCGGCCGGTACCATATAGTGCCTGAAAGACTTGTCTGGCGTGGGTATGACGTGATAAGCTTATCGTACAACTGGCCCTTGGGAAGCGTCAGGAAAATCAAACAAGAGCACAAGAGAAAGACGAGGTGTTGTGATTCATGCGTGGGTTCAATGCTGCAGTGACGACTGTAGAGGTGCGCACTGCCGCCTGTGTTCCTGCACGTGACCGTCATGTCCAAGGAAATGATGACGCCGGTATGCGCAAAGCCGCTTTCAAATTGATAGTAAGTCATTAGCAGCAGCGGCCAACGGATTCTCGCCCCAATTGGTGGTAGGCCTATCAGTCCTTCGTCATCATCAATGTCAAACTTTCGCCAAAGCAACTCCACTTACGTTCTCGCCAAGTCCCAGTTCTCTTCTCCCCTATTTTGTTCTCGTTGCTGAGCCACAATTTTGCATTTGAGTTTTCAGGCTCCCCGTTCCGAAAGCCTTCCTGCGTCATATGCAGGCCTCGATCACAGTCACACCACGCCCTGGCTCCCATCATCCCACGAAAACCCACTGTCCGACAGGCACATGATCATTTGTACAGGCGCTGCAGGTACATACCACTCGTTTCATGTACAGACTAGTTCCGATGTTCTTCTGCTTCACAGGTACCTGAACATGTTCATCAGGCGTGCTATCAGATGCTGTGTGACCGCCACCGTTCCTGCGAGGAAGGTCGGGCATTGCAACTGGATGCATTTGGAACTATAGAGCATGTCACTGGTCACAGAAATATTGATAATGGAACTGTTCGGAAGCATAGGACAAGGCGGATAGGAGGCCAAGACGTACGAAAATTGAGGTCAGCATGTCTACAAGTCGCATCAATGTCCGCAAAAGGACGATGACAACGGAGACATCCGGAATGCAGGAAAAACTGCACACAGGCGGACTTGGCCGAAGCAATAAACTCATCTTCAACTTTTTTTGAGATGCGAGTGCGAGGTGCAAATCGCATACGCGATAGTATAATCATGAAGAAGGGGAATGGATGCATGACGCATCTATGCCTATGACCCAATTAACGTTGGGTTGGAGTCCAGAAATGGTGTAGCTTGGACTTGGTGAACCTCCAAGTCCGACGTGTTGGATGAAGCAGTCGCACGACTGCACGTCGGTCCCAAAACGGTTATGGCTCGTCCCAAGCAGGAAAAGTCGTTACACGAAGCCCACGTGTAAGGCGTACAGTTGATTAAGTAGCAAGAAATTTGGCAGGGTCGAGGTGGAGGTTTTCTTTAATGTCAAAGTGAGACGTGCATAGACAGTGAGGTGGAGGCCCGTACCAAGATGGTCGAGAGCATAATGTGCGCGCTCATGAATCAGACCACGATCATCACCTCGCCGACCCAAGACGATCACGATGTCTCCATAGCGCGCGGTCTTGTTTCTACATTCTTCGAGGCCTTTGTCATTTAGGGATTGGCATGCAGCAACGAGCATGCATAGGATATATTGTTCCGCCGCCATACAAACCCTGCATTTTGCGCGAAATTCTCCGGGCAAGTACTGCAGAAAGACATTGCATGTGGTGCCTGTAATTTATTGGAGAGTCAAAGGTGGCCAATTTTGGCAAAGCGATGAGCGTCGTGTGACTTTTGACGTAGGTTTCAGGCCATAGGTTCGCAGCGCGAGAGTGGAGTTGCAGAGTCATGAACCTAGGAATGGGTACCAACGCAGTGTAGTAGTCAACGTCCAAACAAGAGGCAAAGGCAGAGAAATGTAGTAGAATATTGGTAGCTGGGGCCGGGGGTGCTGCTAGGATCGGGGCGATCGATGATAGATCGAATGCTGCGAGAAAGGCTTTGGATTGCAAGCGGTGCATGTTTTCTGAACGGCGCACAGCGCATGGAGCAGCCGTTTCCGGCTGCACAATACGTTCACAATGCGGAGTACTGGTGATAACCAAACTGGTTTGCATACTTTGACACTGGCGATGTTTGCGTGGCCGATTCGAGATGGATTTGACCCACCTTTTGTTCGCATTCGCCTTCAGCGCATTCGGTCTCCATTCCGCCCCGCCTGTGGCACGACTCAGATACCTAGTCGGCGGAGTGAGGCCCGCGGTCACGAGTAAGGCTTGGGCTTTTCTCACAGGTACCCAGGGCCAAACCTCGACTGACTCGGACGGCTCTCTTTCAGGTGGACTAGGTTCGGTATGGGACAGGGCGAAATGAGAGCCCGACGAATCGGTAAGCCGCAATCAAAGGGTTTCAAGTAACCCAACGGCCAGGGATGAGCAGGCCAAAGGCTGGAATTTTGACGGGGGCAACGGCGACTTTGTCTACAAAGGCGTTGATGATTGACACCGGCCCAGACGGCATGTGCGCTGCCGGCGACCTTTGCGGGCGGTTGCGACAGCGGCCCGCTGCGGAGCTTCAGCACGACCTACAGGAAAACTACCGGAAAATCATGGCGAATTAGCAGAGGGCGGGGGACGCGCGTTTATTCGTACCGTGTACCGCAATCAGGCGTGGGTGGTAAGGGAAGGACGAGGGTGAGGAAGTGAAGGAGAGAGAGACACGAGGTGGCGTATGGAAGGCCAACAGTGACACTTTGTTTGGGGTAACGCAACATACGTGATTCTGCCGAGCCGCGCAATATTGTAATCAATCCCCCCCACACCCCACTCGTAAACGAAAGTCAGAGCAAGTCTCATCACGAAGCCCGTTTGGTAGATGAGGCGGGTTGAGGCATATCTTTCGCGTCCGTTTTGCGTAACTTTTGTGAGGTTGGGCAAGGACGTGGGTATGAGGAGGCTGACCACTAGTAGAATTTCGGTAGAGCATACTTAGACTATAGACCAGGTGGATTCTTAGTGGTGCCTCTGAATCGCCCCCCCCCCCCGGTGCCCCCACAGCGGGTCCAAACTTTGCTTGCTATCCGTTTTATTGTATGTAGGCATGTGTAGGTATATACGTACCTGTGATTGCTCGTCGGGCTGCGCAACCCCGACTCATGGCCATCTATCTTGCCAAAGGTGGAAAAATCCCCACCCGCCCCATGTCCAGCCTGGCGACTGGCTGGGTTGGCGCAGACGACGACGTCATCCCTCAGGTAGCAAAGGGCTCTGGACCTGCGTAGACAAAAGAGATCGACAGCTAGCACGGATGCTGATCATGGCTAGGAGGGGCCAAGGTGTCAAATGTCAAGCGTCAAGTGTCAACCCGTCGAGCGACTTTTTGTCGGTGGCTTCGTGGCCTTGGTCGTGAGCATTTGGCCTCGAAGCTAAAATAAGAAAAAGTGAGGCTTTTGACCCAAATTCCTTTGGGCGTTTGCATCGTCATCACGTTTCCCAACGTCATGGTCCAGCGATAACAACGCCAACGTGACGTATCTCGAGAATGATGGTCCGCGCAATGGCGACATTGAACCCTCCTTTTTTTTGCCTCTTGCTTGACCAGGGGAGGCGGACGGAGCATATTTTTCCACGGTGCCCAGAGCGTAGAGTGTAAGACTTAGTCATTGGCCGCACTTTGGAGCGGCCGTTTTGGCAAGACTCCATCGACATGCTTGTATGTACATGTCGACCTGAAACTGGAGGCAAGAAGTGGACTAGTCTGAGATCTGGCTGTCACCGGGAGTGCAGGATGAGCATCTTTTCTTGCCGGGCCAATGAGCGCTCAATAAGCTCATTGATGCCAGGTTCCGCGATGCAACTCTGGGTGGAGACGGAACCCTCTTACTCGAGTCCCCTCGCTACCAGCCTTACGAGATTGCTAGTCAGTGTCTTTTATCATCAGCATCTCTGCAACCTGACCGGATGACTGCACCCGCACTGCTGCTGCTGAGCTGTTCAGATTCTGCAAAGTTACCCACGCAAGGTTTAACCACCTGGTCGTTTCGTGCGGCTTTGTCAGGCACTGCCATGTAACTTGCGCTACGTGACTCTCCCTATCAAGGCTGCTTCTTAGTCGCGGAACAGGCGGACAGACTGCCATCCAATCACGTCCCTACACTGGCTGACTTCATCGCGGCAAACTGTCCTGTCACTATCCAATCCCCTCAGCAATCCCGACTCTTGTACCCAAGGTCACTGATCCTGCCACACCCCCTACAATTAAACTCCCTGGGCGCACCTCGCTTCCCGTTGTCGACATCGTAAGTGCATATGCTCCCCCCTACAAATGATGTGGTGTGTGGCGACTGGAAGCCAGCTGTGGTGAGGTCGAAGGATTGTCTTGCAGCAAGCATGCGCAATGTATGTATGTCGGCTTTAGCTCACTACTGCTCATCAAGCGGTGAGTGTCTTTGCACAACGCAACATCTGGACCCCCAGTCTCGTGACTGCGGCGCACCATCAGACCAGACAGTTTACAGGGTATCTTGTTCGACCCTAAGTTGATTGCTATCCTACTGGTGAAACTATTGATACAATGTTGAGCGCATACACGCCGCTACAAACAGCAAACCCCTTAGCACTGATACGTATACATGATTTTTTTGGTTGCGATCGAGCGCATAAGGATACATGGAAATGCGTGAAAGACATTACTGTTAACGTGTAGCGATGCCATGAGACTACCGTCTAAAGACCAATGTGAAATGAAAGGCAGTGCCCTTTGCTGCGCTAGCTGGGGTACTGATCACCCGTTGCCTCAAATCCCCAACTGTAAACCAGCGCCAATGTCCCATAACGCCTGAACCGTGCCCAAAAACCCCCTAGCCCGTAGGAAAAGTCGACCATCGTGTCGAGGAAATGTTTAATATAGCTTGCGCTCCGGGAACACCATATCGTCATATCCACTGGCCGGAGGTTGATGGTATCCTGTTGGCATGGGAACGTTGAAGTCGTATCCGCTGTCCACTCGCTGGATGGTATCAGATGACATGGAGGAGCTTCGACTGCTACGTTCGCTGCTGTGGTGGAAAGATCCACCATAGCTTCGGGACATTGAGGCCATTGGCATGGCGGGGTACGATGAAGGATAAGACGAGGCGGACGATGACATGGCTGAGATACGCCTGTCCTTGCCACGACCTTTGATGCCCTTGTTGGAGTTCTTGTATAGAGATGCAAAGTACTCCCAGAGCTCCTTGTCTTCTTTGGACACCCAGTCGCCCATGCTGATGGTTGCAAACTTTGTCGTGAGATATCTGAGGGTAGTGGCGTGGAATTTGTTCTGGTGTGACTGCGTTCTGTTAGTGTCTGCTTGCAGAATCGAGGTGTTCTCCGCAGTACACACCTTGAGGTTACCGAGTTGAGTAAATTGCTTGCCACAGTCGTCGAGCTTGCAGGTGAAGGGCTTGATCTGCTGGTGCACAATCTTGTGTGCTCGTACATTGCCCCGCTGAGCAAAGGTTTTGCCACAGATATCGCAACTGTAGGGTCGTTCGCCAGTGTGTCGTCGCTCGTGTGTCTGAACGTGTTAGTATGCTACGTGGACAGGTGGCAGTGGAAGAACTCACCTTGAGGTTACCTAATTGAGAGAACGACTGTCCACAACCTGGGGCCTTGCAGTTCTACAGTCGAGGTCAGATCGGTGCAAATAGTTGAACGTGACAATAGCCTTACGAATGGCTTAGCTCCAGTGTGAGCACGGATGTGGATTTCGAGATGAGTCTTCTGGTAGAAGCTCTTGTTGCAGTTAGGGACAGTACATTGGTAGCGCTTGCGAGGTTTTTGAGAAGGCTTGGTGGTGTCCTCCTGCTTTCTGGTTAGACAATAGATTTTCAAACAGTGCTGAGTACGTACCTTGGGCTCTGCTGGCTCGGAAGGGGTTGTCTGTTTTGCTTGGATGGCCTTCATCAGAGTGTCTACATCGGTCGAGAAGTGAACAGAAGTGCCTTCTGTCGGGACAGAGTTGGAACGCTTAGCATCGGATGGGTAGGATGTTTCGCCATATATCGGGTTCGACTGGAGAGGCGATGTGCTTTCGGCCTTGACCAGAGGGTTGAAGAGATTTCGGCTGTCTCGTACTGTTGGAAGTTGCTGGACATCGGTCGATGGAGGGTAGGACACAGGATGTGGGATACTCGACTGGTAGTATGACGGCTGTTGCATAGTGTATGGGTTCACCGACGTGGCGTCGTATGCGAATTGTCCCGGCTGGTAGGGGACAGTGGTGGCGAGGCCATTGGAAGAGTAGAGAGGCATGCTCATGTCCATTTGTGTGGAGGTGGGCTGAAAGCTCCGCGAGACTGGCGCGCTGGTGGCGGCACGCGAAGTGTCGTACTGAGGGATCATGCTAGAGCTGTGCATGTTGGGCATTTGAAAGGGAGGTTCCCGTCGTTCTTGCCAAAGACCAGACTGATGAGATGCAACAACAGCGGCCATGCTAAGGGAAAGAAGCTGGTACCACAGAGCAGACGGTGAGGTACTGAGGGTACAGTCCGCGGATGAGACGGGCGGGGGGATAAAGCAGGAGAGAAAGTGGTAAGTACGGCTTGGGCCGGGGGCTTTTTTGAAAAAAGAGGGTATCAAGACAGCAACAAGGTGATGAGATGGAGATACAAGATCGGATGACGTGGGAGTATTGTAGATTTGTTCGATCGATCTGGTTGGGATTGGGGAGCCTTTTGGGTCTTTACATACGGGAAGG